CCCACCACTGCACCCAGTATTCACTGGTTAACTGGTCACCATTAACTTCACACAGACTCTCCCACTGGTACATCTTCATCTTTAAATCACTTCCTGGTCTGCTGCCTTCATACATCTCCTCCTACATGTCTCTGTGTGAGTGCAGCTACAGCGTGCGCTCTCAGGACATCATTACCTGCAGTGTTCCCTCAGTGAGGACGGAACTAGACAAAAGGACCTTCTCCTACTCTGCTCCTGTTTCCTGGAACATCTTGTAAAAACATCTGAAGCTCTCGACCTTTGACCTCTCTAAGTGGCTTCAAACGTCTGTTAAGTTCATGCAGATGTTCCTGTTTTTAGTTTTCTACATCGTCTTACAACCTAGCTGTTTTATACTTTTTCTTTTAAATACCATTTTATTCTCAGTTGTTATTTAAAATATGTACGCATCCTTTATGACTGTCTTTTGTTGTCCACTGTTGTCATCACTGTTTATTAAAATCAGGTCTCTTGTAAATGAGTCCCTGAGGCTCAATGGGATTAACATGAAGAAATAAAGGTTGAATGAACAGACATCACTGGAATAGAGTGATTGACTTCAAATATTGTGCAACAAATATATATAACGTTAACAGTATCATCCTTTTTGTCAAGGCCAGTTTAAATAGTTTGTTTATTTAGATAAATTTGGTTGAAACAAAATTCATAATCAATGATTGATTTTCATTATTGCCTGATTTATTCTTTGTCTATTTGTTTCAAGTTATTAAATTGACCTTTGTGGGATTTTGTTCTTTGACAAAAGTGTACAAATTTGTGTCTGCATCTTTAAAATGAGAAATTTGCTGTTAATCCTTGGTAAAATATTTGCATCCAGTCCAACTTACAGCATACGCAGGCCCTCCATGCCTCTAAACATGCTCCCCCTCACGGCCTCCAGGTGGTTGGCTGTGAGGTGAAGCTCCACCACAGAGGAGGCGCCCTCAAACGCACCATCCTCAATCTCTTGGACCTTGTTGTTGCTCAGGTTACTGAAAATAAAAAGGAAAACATCCATTTAAATTTCAAATTTCTTTTAAATTTAATGTCAATGAACCGTTCAAGTGAACATTCTAATTTGACTAACAGTTGAAACCACTTTGTTTTTCAGTGACCTACATTTTCTTAAGCTGCGACAGGCCCTTGAAGGCTCCGGTGGCCTCCAGCATGGAAAGGTCATTGTTGTTGAGACGCCTGAGACATGAGGGTCAAAAAACAAAAGCATTTCAAGTACAAAGTTATTCTGAAGTATGAATTGTGTTCAGCAGAAACTATTAATCTGTGCAACATGAATCTATCAGCAGTGTACAAGTACTGAAAATGAATGCAGGTCTGTAGCTACTAGCAATGATTGCAATTGGGGTATTTCTTATGGCGGTAAGGGCAGAGTTACATTGAATACCACAATTTAATGAGCCATTTAAAATCCAAACTCTCTGCTGAAAACACCAGTTTCACAAGTCAGCTCTTAAAGCTAACACAGCTAAGCTACACACTTTAAAGGAAACTGCAGAGAAGAGACAAGGGACAGCAATAAAACAAAAAAGATTACAAAACTGGGGAATCACTTTGTTGCTCTGGACCAACCTATGTTTAGTACAATAAGGTTTGGCGTTACTTGGTTTTGTTTTCCTTGCAGAAAATTAACAAAAAACTTGAGGCACAACTTGAACACATTTTCTTTATTGCAAAGTAGAGCTGCTGGGGTGTAGATTGCATTGATTTTAATTCCTTTAATGTAGCAGTAGTCTGCAATCTGCAAGTCTGTGCTGTTACAATGTAAAATGCAATATCCTAAGCAGAAAAGTGACTTTTCAGAAAAGAAACTTTTCTACTTTGTTATCTTCTTTGTTTTCCGTCCCCGTGCCCATTACGTCTGAAACAAGCCCAAAGCAAATTCTAATGAAATTTAATTTATATATCAAGTGGAGCATTAAGGCCAGCCATGATGCTCTGCTTGTGAAAGTAAATCTGTTGGACATCACTTTGACACTCACACAATAATTGTAAGTGTCACAATGACGGACAGGACAAGGGGGAAAAATAAAATAAAACAATATTCTGATTGATTTTCTGTACTGGCAAAACCTTAACCTTAATTGATTCCAATTGGTGTGGGAAAAAATAAAAAATAAAACTCAGGATATTCCAAGTCACTACCACAGGTGTGAATGGTCACAAGGTCCATCCGTTAGTTTTGAAAATATATATAATATATAAAAATAGAGAACAATGTGTCAAAGTTAGAGAGAATGACATTGACTAATCAGAACTGGTATTCCAAGGCATTATATTGTAGGACATTTGCTTTTGTTGCTTGTGCATTAATGATTTGCCTGACAGTTGTTAGAATGCTCAGCACCAAGTGTATCCAGATGTGCTATCTAATATCACATCATACTGTATACCGTGAATTTAACTAAAACAAAACTCTACAACGTGCTGCTTAATGATCATTGCTTGATTCTAAACTGCACCAAAACAGTGTCATTGTGTTAAATTATTAGATGAATGTCAATAATTTTACTAATCTTATTGATCAGAGGAACATCCAAAACCAAGATGGTTCAAATATTTGGGTGTTGTTTTGGATCCATGTCTAAAATGTGAGGCTCATATTAGGAAACGGTCTAGAAGCTTTAAGACTAATGTTTATTGTTTTGGTCTGATAAGATCATATCTGGGCAGCACGGTGGCGCAACTGGTCGAGCTGCTGCCTCTCAGCGAGCAGGTCCCTGGTTCAAACCCGGTCCAGGGGCCTTTCTGGGTGGAGTTTGCATGTTCTCTCCGTGCATGCATGGGTTTTCTCCGGGTGCTCTGGTTTCCTCCCACAGACCAAAAACATGCATGTTAGACTGATTGGTAACTCTAAATTGTCCCTAGGTGTGAGTGAGAGAGTGAATGGTTGTTTGTCTCGTTTGTCTCTATGTGTCCCTGTGATGGACTGGAGACCTGTCCAGGGTGTCCCCCGCCCCTCGCACAGTGATTGCTGGACATGGGCACCAGCGACCCCCGTGACCCAAAATGGAATAAACGGGTAAAAGATAATGGATGGATGTATGGATGTATGGATGTATGGATGGATGGATGTATGGATGTATGGATGGATGGATGGATGGATGGATGGATGGATGGATGGAAGATGATGTCTACCAGAGAAGGCTGCCTAATGATATCTGAGTGCTGTGATTTTATCACAGCTTTCATATTGTGTAACCGTTTGGAGCCGTACAACTCAATCTGTTTTAAAACTTGTCATGTATTTGGCCAAACAAGCTCTTTTTTTGTATTAACAGTTTTAAAAATGTCATTATTTGTTCTATTTAAAAGCCCAACGAGTAACGAGGTTTGCAAAGTAGCCTGGGTATAAAGCAACGTTTCAACATGCAGCACTGGATTGGTGTGTGGGGGTGTGTCTCACAGCTCTTCAGTGGATGGAGGCAGGTGTTCAGGGAACTTGGTGAGACGCAGGTTGGAGCAGTCAACCACATTGGCCTCGCAGCGGCATTTTGCAGGACACACCGGTTTACTGTTGCACTCGTAGCTTAGACGTCTGTCTTCAGAGCCTGCACACAAGCAGGCCCAGAGGACGGGAACAAAGGCAAATGATAATTATTGAAACTGTAGAATTCCTTTCTGTACTGTAGTTGTGAATGTGCATGAAAAACTAGAGCAGTCTTAGAAATAAAGACACACCTGGGATGTGATACTGCTCCTTGGCTGACAGGAAAAGCAAGCAGAAGCACAATTGTCAGTAAAACAAATTATATTTCCCAAAAGTGAATAGTAACACAGCTACACACGCACGCACACACAACGCTCTCATTTAATAACAATAATAATAAAACTTTATTTATAAAGCCCTTTACAACAACCACAGCTGCCACAAAGTGCTGTACATATAAAATCAGAACATTTAAACACATAAAAACAGTTGTTAAAACATTAAGATCAATAAAAATAATAAAAACGGTGCAGAATAAATTCAGTGTGTGCTAAAAGCCAGGGAGTAAAAATGTGTTTTTAAAAGAGTTTTAAAACTGGACAGTGAAGGAGCTCGTCTGATGGGAAGAGGGAGATCGTTCCACAGTCTTGGAGCAGCAACAGAAAAAGCTCTGTCCCCTCTGAGCCTCCGCTTAGACCTCGGCACCTCCAGGAGCAGCTGATCAGCTGATCTGAGGCACCGAGCAGGAGAGTATGGGTGAAGCAGCTCAGAGAGGTAGGATGGAGCAAGACCATTTAAACTTTTAAAAACAAATAAAAGAATCTTAAAATGAACTCTAAAATGAACAGGCAGCCAGTGGAGTGAAGCCAGAGTGGGGGTGATGTGCTCCCTCTCATGAACTCCAGTTAGAAGCCGAGCAGCAGCGTTCTGGACCAACTGGAGGCGTCTGAGGGAGGACTGGCTGACTCCAAGGTAAAGAGCGTTACAGTAATCCAGCCGAGAGGTGACGAAGGCATGGATTACTGTTTCCAGCTGCTGTTTTGTAAGGATGGTCTTTACCTTAGCCAGCTGTCAGAGGTGATAAAAACTGGTCTTGACCACCGCTCCAATCTGGGACTCTAATTTAAAATCACTGTCCATTTTAAAACCCAAGTTAGAAATAGTTTTCTTTACATGTGGTGCCAGAGGGCCCAGATCCACAGGGCAAGGTTCACAAGAGCTACTAGGACCAAACACCATCACTTCTGTTTTCTTTTCATTGAAATTTAAGAAGTTTAAAGACATCCAGGCTTTGATGTCTTCAAGACAACAGAAGTGGCCTAATTGAGGGGGCAGCTTTCTTTTTTAGTGACGTATAGATCTGACTATCATCAGCATAAAAGTGAAAAAAGATCCCATGCTTTCTAAGGATTGATCCCAATGGAAGCAGGTAAACACCCCAAACCAGCTCCAGAGCCCATACAGCAGGAGGAAGGTATGAAACGATCTGTGTGTGTTCTGTTTCCTGGATGCGATGTGTTGGCGGGTGCGAAGCTTCCAGGCCTGGCAGAAGTCTTGAACAGCGTGGAGCCGTTTGTGTGGAGATCTGAGACTCTGCCACGTTTCACCAGCTCCTCTCTGAGGATTCACACACAGCGGGCTCAGTGTGGGACTTCAAAATGGCACAGGAGCTTTGTGTTTCTTGTATCCAGCCAATATTAGTGCAATTAACTTGCTTGCTTTCTGACTTGTCACACACACACACACACACACACACACACACACACACACACACACCCAGTGGCACAATAATTTAGACTCTCAAACCTTCACTCTCAAGTGAAGTCATATAAGTTTATTGTAAATACAAAGCTTTTGTCTCTGTTTTTTTATTTTCTTTTCTTACAATGAGCTTTTGGAATTTCAATACTATGTAGAAAACAATTGTTGTCCCTCTTCTATCAATTCCCTTCAAGTGTCTTCACAGCAAATCATCTGCCTCCATCTATCCCAGCATCCTTTGTTGTCACACCAACCCTCTGCAGACCCTCCTTCCCTACATCTATGACCCTCCTCTGTGTCTTCTTCTTTTCCTCTTCCTCCTCAGCTCCATATTTAACATGTTTCTGTCCAATATATCAACTGTCTCTCCTCTACACATGTCCAAATGCCTTTCAACTTTGGTTTTAAATTACTTGTCCTGAGATGTCTCTAATGGACTCATATTTTATTTTGTTCACTTCAGACACTTGCAATGAAAATCTCTGCAACCTTAACTTACACATCCTGCTGTTTTGTTTGTTGCTTTCATTTTCTTTTTTGTTGTTGTTGTTAGTGCCATGCAGCACGGTGGTGCCGCTGGTAGAGCTGCTGCCTCTCAGCGAGCAGGTCCCTGGTTCAAATCCTGGTCCGGGGGCCTTTCTGGGTGGAGTTTGCATGTTCTCTCCATGCATGCGTGGGTTTTCTCCGGGTACTCCAGTTTCCTCCCACAGACCAAAAACATGCATGTTAGACTGATTGGTAACTCTAAATTGTCTCTAGGTGTGAGTGAGAGAGTGAATGGTTGTTTGTCTCGTTTGTCTCTATGTGTCCCTGTGATGGACTGGAGACCTGTCCACGGTGTCTCACCCCCCTCACACAGTGATTGCTGGACATGGGCACTGGCGACCCCCGTGACCCAAAATGGAATAAGCGGGTAAAGATGATGGATGGATGGATCCTGTTTAACTCTGAATGCTAGGAAACCCCTTGTAACTGTGACTTTCCTTCCTTCCACTTCTTTAGGGGTCGCCACAGTGAACTAAGTCACACGAAGACTTGGCTTTCTTCCACTGACTATGGTGACATTATTTACATGAACGCTCCTACAAGAACCCTGCAGATGTTGGATGCTGCAGATGTTGGATGCTGTCTATCATGGTGCACTAAGATTCATAACTGGCTGTAACTACCGTACCCACCACTGCACCCAGTATTCACTGGTTAACTGGTCACCATTAACT